AACTACAAATAGTCAGGGCCAAAAATGAAATTCCCCATGGCACATATCAATCAAAACCAAATGCACAGAACAAATAAAAAGAAAAGTCTGATTCACATATAAAGGCAGGCCCATTAGAAAAACATGTGACTTCAATGGAGAATGTGAAAGTCATAAGGGCCCGGAGGTATGTTCTGCAAGCTCTGAGAGATGGCAGTTGTGAATCCAGACTACTATATCCAGCAAAACTATTAATCACAATTTTCAGAGAAAGAAAAAGAATCCACAATAGAACCAAATTTAAGCAATTTTTACCTCCCAATGCAACTCTACAGAAAAACCTGCCTGCAAGGAAGGTTAACCACAACTAAGAAGACCCAAGGACTAAATAATCCTAGGACAGTGAAGTGAAAAAGAGATTAAAAACCCCACCTCATCACAGCAAAAGAGCAAGAATTAGTAAAGACTGCTTATTAACAACTTTCAATTATCTCAATCCCTCCCCCTCAAAAAAATCACACTAACGTAATGAATTAAAAAACAGGAGCCACCTTTCTGCTCCCTCTAAGAAACACATCTAACCACCAAGTACAGGTATCACCTTGGGGTCAAAGGATGGAAAAAGTTATTACAAGCAAATGGAACCAAGAGGCATGCAAGTTTAATATCTGACAAAACAGATGTCAAACCAAAATTAGAAGAGACAGGGAAAGAAACTCAATACTCCTTAAAAAACATCCCTAAGAGATAAGTTCATGCACTAAGTGTTCTATACAAAAACTGAAGAAATCTCATATTAAAAGCATAATGGCACAGCTGAATGTTCTAGACAAAATGAAAAATGTAATATACAAAAAAAGAGCAGACAGGAAGAAGTTGTAAAAGCCAGGGCAGAAATTAATGATGTATAAACAAATAAACAAAAAACAATATAAAGAACCAATGAAAAGCAGAGTTGGTTCTTTGAGAAAACAAGATTAACAAATCCTTAGTCAAATGAACCAAAAGACATGGAGAGAAGATCAAAATTAATAAAATTAGAGATGAAAAGGAGGATATTACAGCAGACACTGAGGAAATTCAGAGAATCATAAGGACATGCTTAAAAAAAATCTCTACTCCATCAAAATGGAAAACTGAGAAGAAATGGATGAATTTCTTGAGATATATTGCCTACTAAAATTAAATCAGGATGAAATAAGTAATTTAAACAGACCCATATTTCTCAGTAAAATAGAAGTATCCCAGGGCCAGATGGATTCAGCAAAGAATTCTGCCAGAACTTCAGAGAATAATCCATAACTGGCCAGAACATAGAAACTGAAGGAACACTTCCTAATTTTTTAAAATGAAACCATTACTCAGATACCAAAACCACATAAAGCAAATAAAAAGAATAGACCAATACCTTTTATGAACATAGGTATGAAAATTGTCAGTAAAATACTTGCAAACAGAATCCAACAATATATCAAAGAGATTATCCATCATGACCAAGTTGGAAGGTAAGGCCATATTGTTGAAGATCCTACTTATATCATTTAACTTGGAGAGATCCAGGTGATTCCAAACTATAAGCTTCACTACTTCTGACTAATGTCCATGACATTGAAGGTACTTTGCATGCTAATTGTGGAAAAAAGAAATCAACATTACCCATCTACAAAACATACCTGGAAAATATACTGTTAAAATAGTGGCACAAATGTTATGGAGTAATCAAGCACTTTCCAATTGGATTTAATGCCCTCTCAATGCTTTTCTCTCCTAAGTGTTCATAAAATTGTTGATTATTCCATAGTCCTTACTGGTTTCTGGCTGTATTCTATTTTATTAGATTCTTTTAACTGTTTTCTTTCTTTTTCTCATTACATGCTTATTTTCCTTTTCCTTTCCCGTGTGTTTTAAAGTGAAAATTATTGTATTGGTTTGATATCTTCAGTTATATGTATGTGTCCCTTCTGTGTACAAGTACATTTGCCATATGTACACATGTGAAGGTCAGAGGACATCTTTGTGTATCTCATACAAATTTATTTTTAATTAATAATTAATTAAACGCTATGTTACATGTATGTGTGTAAACATGTTGTATAGGTACATGTACCTAGGTAGGAATCATACTCCCTTATCACTCTCTCCTTTATTTCCTTTAAACAGTGTCGCTTACTAAACTTGAAGCTCATAGTTTGGCTAAAGTGGCTTGCAAGAAGTCTGGGCAATCCTCTGCCTGCTTACCTGAGGTAGAGTAGTAAGCATGGATAACAACACCCGGCATTTAAGTGTGTATGGGGATCCAAGTTCAGATTCCCATGCTTACGTATAAAATGATCTTACTCACTGAGTCACCTTCCCAGTCCCAAATATCTATTATAATTGATGCTTTTACGCTCTTGCTTGCCTCTCAGCGTGTTTTAGGTTGCATGCCATAGTTTTAGTGTGTTGTTTCATTTATATTCATTTCAATGTATTTTATATTTATTTTTCTTAATTCTTTTAAAAAATATTTATTTATTATTTATTTATTTATATATTTATTTATGTATTTATTTATTCATTCATTCATTTATTTATTTATTTCGCATCCCAGCCACAGTTTTCCTTCCTTCCTCTCCTCCCATTTCCTCCTCCCCCACCCACACTGTCCGCATCCCCCATCTACTCATCCTCCATTTCTATTCAGGAAAGGGCAGGTCTCCCATGGACAACAACAGAGCACAGCATATCAAGTTTCAGTAATACTAAGCACCTACCCATGTATTAAAGACAATGTGGCAAGCCAGTATGAAAAATAGGGTCTCAAAAGCCAGTAAAAGATTCAGAGACGGTCCCCAGCTGCACTGTTAGGAGTCTCACAAGAGGATCAAGCTATACAACTCTAACACACATGTAGAGGGTCTAGGTCAGTCCCCTGAGGGCTCCCTGCTTGTCTTTTCAGTCTTAGTGAGCTCCTGTGAGCCCAGGTTAATGGATTCTATGGGTGTTTTTTTTTTGTGGTGTCCCTGACCCCTCTGGTTCCTGTAATCATTTCTCCCCCTCTTTTGCAGGATTCCCCAAATTCCATCTAATGTTTGGCTGTGGGTCTGCATCTGAGATGTCTTTATTTAGGCAGGTTCTGTTCACTCAGTGGCTTTATCTAGACACAGGAGATTTCTTCTTAGATGTTTTTATATTTGTCTCTTAAGCTTGCTTTTGGGTCTGTCATTTCACTTCTTTCTATTTTGGATCTACTGGTTTCTCTCTAAATGAATTCATTGCCAAAGTCTTTATTATTTTTGAGAGGTTTCTCAAAATTGAATTTCCCACACACTGTTTCAAATATTCATTCTCCTTTGGAAGAGCTACAGAGATCTCTGCTTTTGTAAGTTGCTTCTTTGCCTAGTGGAAAATGACTGTACTGCAGCTGGAGGATTGGACAGAGGTCTTTTTGCTTTGGAATGACAGCTCAGCATTGCAGTTAGGAAACTGGATAGAGTGGATAGCCCTGGTTCTCTCAATGAACATATTGCAATGTGGAATATACACCACATGAACAATCTGGAAGAAAGGACATAAATCCCCTGCTTCTGGTGGACCCCAGTACCTGCATGAGAGTACTAGGTAGAGCAGACACCTAAGTTCGATGTCAATCTAGCATGGAATAACAAGTCTGAAATCTAGCAGTAAGGAAAATAAGATGGTGGTCTGTTTCTTCCAGTTAGAAAATTACTATAGGTCAGATTGGGAGAGAGGGATCTGCATCTTAATTATTTCACAAAATTATTTCAACTTTCTATTGAGCAGATGGGGCTGGTAGAAAGAGTGAGTCATGCCTCACTGCCATTAACTCTATTTCTACAGAAATTTAGATATAAATTTGATATATATCCTTAAACAATTTAAAATTGTTGATATTTATTATTTTCATGATTTATTGTTGATTTCCTCAAAGCAGTTTAATTTAATTGGCTTCCTCACAATATAAGGCTGAAGTTTTGCACCCATTTAGGGACATACTATGGTCTTTGTAGAGAACAGACTCTTGATGTTGCAATGTTTGCAAATTAACTTGTTTTAATGTTTGGAGAAATGTATTATGTGGAATAAGTTAAAACTGGATCTTAATCAAGAAGGAACAACAGGATATGACTTTTCAAGAACACTCTAGTTCTACAGTAACAACACTGAATCCTCTATGTGTATATGCAACAACTACAAACTCTTCATCTTTCTACTGGGCCGACCCCTTTAGAGATGTCATCAAAAATTATTAAATGTTCAAAAGAACTCAGATGCAGACTAGGAGCTAACAAATGTTTCTGAGCTCTTCTGTTCATTTTGTGCAAACCTTTCTGTTAGGAAAGGAGATAAAGATTGAATCCTGTAATTCCAGCATTATGCAAGAGCATGCAGATGATATGAAGTTCTGGTCATCCTTAGTCATATAAAAAGTTTGAGGCCAACCTGAGCTAAATCAGACCCTGCCTCAAAAAAAGACATTCATAATCCAATGAAAAACACACATCTTAAAATTATTTTTGAGTAGTCTGCCTTTCCACTCTTTGTACTCATGGTATTATTGAGCAATCGCCTGTACTGAGAATTATTTCATTTCAAATGAACTGGTAAGTATGTGGAACACACCATAGTGGGAATCAAAAAAAAGCTTGTAATCTAGTTGGAAAGAGAAGCTGATAAATAAAATGTTTACAAGCATGTAAAAGTTAGTGAAAATTCAGTGGAGAGAACCCTGTAAGCAGAGTGCTGTATGCAAAGAACTTAATTCTCTGTAGGATGTCTTATAAATTGTTATTAACAATTCAACACAGCATAAATACACAGCAAATTCTCAAAAAAAATCTAACAAATTGGCTCATTTTTCACAGTATTCTTCTCCATTAAAAATAATGCCAAATACTTTGTTGGACTTTTTTTTTTCTTTTTGTTTTTTATCCACTTTCTGGAATAGTACCATACATAATGAGTCACATGTCTTCTATTAAAATATATTTAAATAAGAAAGTGAATAGCTGACCTCTTACCTGCGCTTTCTTTGGAATGGTTGAGTTCCATACATAGTGGTTTTGTGGTTGTGTGCTACCACTACAAACCTGGTTGAGACCAGAAAGAGCTCTTTATTCCTCATAATCTTGCTAGGCATAGAAGCAAATATCTATTGAAACATCCTTTTAAAAATTGTCTCGAAAAACCAAAAAAAAAAAGAAAATTGTTACTAGTATGTACTTTTTAGGGAGTTTTAACATTGCATGTTACAATATGCACTGTGTCTGCATTTTGAGAGAGTCACTGTTATAGGTTAAAACAGTCACATGAATTCTCTGCATCCCAATATGAGAAGGTAAAATTAATGTTGGTTAATGCTACCATATGTTGGGATTTTAAGCCTGTCTTTGATGCTTCCACTTGCTATTTCCAATCTTGTTAGCCTCAGCTGACTTTTCATGACACAGTACATTAATTTCTTAAAAGGGAGAATAATTTCAATGTCTTAAAATTTTTACAGTTGTGGATCTCAGTGGAGAACCTCAACCACTACTTTACTAAACCAGCATAATTCCCAAGTACATTCTAAATATTAGTCCTTATAGTTACAGGTAAGTGTAGTTAGTCTTTACCCCTTATCAAGGAATCTTCTGTTTGCGACAGATCAAAACTATATAGGAAATGGCAACCAAGCAAAACAAACAGTTGCAAAATGCACTGCCAATGGAGACATCCACCAAAGAATTCCATCACCTGTGACTCAGGCAACATTGCAGAAGAGGGGGGAAAAGATTATAAAAAACAGAAGATCAGGGAGTTTGGTATGACACTGTGCCTTTATTTCTCAAAAATGTAACTGATTAAACATGAGCTGAACAAGAACAACAATAATAAACATGGTAAACTAGACAGGGGACATTCCAGGAGGCCTCAACTCTACAGAAAAAACTACAGGCAACAAAGGAACGCAGAGAGTAGAGAAGTCTTCCCCGGGAAAGAGTACAAATGCTGTTTATGCAACACACAATTGTCATTCCTGAAAACATACATACAAGTTAAGTAGGTTGTATTTAGGGACAGAACTATATATATATCGGCATCTATCTGTGTATATATATATATATATATAATATATATAATATGTATACGTATATAATATGTATATAATATGTATACGTATATAATATGTATACATACATGTATATGAAGCGTTTATCTAACTCCTTCTTTATCAATAAAAACTTGTGAGTCAGATACCAGGGTAAAAACCTGATTGATCAGAGAAGTAACCAGTGACCTTCACTCTATCTTCTTGAACTAAAAGTGCCATGAACCTGTCTAAGTTGCTCCCTATTACTTCCCTGGGTCTTTCTTACTCTATGTCCTTGGTCCTCCAAAATGTCTATGGCTAATTTGGCCAGCTAGTAGGTAGCTCTTCCCTGTGTTTCAAGGTAAACTTTATTGTCAGTTTCAGGAGTGTCAGAGTAAGATCAAAATATTCCACTGCATTTCTCCATTTTTGTCTAGGTGAAAAGGTAAGTTTCTAAATCTAAAAAAGTAAATCTATATGCAATAAGAACAATTATCAGGTAAGAATTTTACATTCAAGATAACCAGTCCATTTGCATTTGACAAATTCAGAGAAAATACTCCATTATCTATTCTATCTTGGTGAGTTGTTGTGTACTTAGTTTGCTTTCTATCCTAAGTTGGATTACTAACCCAAAACTATCATTTTAGACCTCAAAACATTTTCTTAGATTAACAATTTAAGCTTTTATTCTCTTGACCTTACATACTTTTACAGCTCTTTTGTGAGCCTCTTTTCTGAATTTGTTAACAAGGAAAACTGTAAGACAAAATTTAATTTAGTCTTCAACCCCTTCAGAGATCTGAGAAGGATAAAACATTGCCTGAGTAAATAGGAAGTGCGGCGCTAACAATTTCCAAAACTATAGAAACGACAGAGACGACTGGCTGCCTGTACACTCACCCAACGTTCTGCAATATTGGGGGATCCATTTTCATCCTACAGGCCTAGAATATCTTGCAGACTTTTCTGTGGAGCAAGAATTTTAAAGGACTGGTGCTACCTTTTCTTGGCAAAGTTTGGCAGTCACCTTTGTGTGTGTGTGTGTGTGTGTGTGTGTGTGTGTGTGTGTGTGTGTGTGTCCTGTTTGTCCAATTTGGACAGGTATTGTCAACAGCTGGAGCAAGGGCAGTTTCTTGCCCAAATGGCTAGCTTTGCTACATTGAAATCAAATTCCATATGGAGGTTCTTCTATGCCCATCATCATTTTTTTGAAGTAAATTGTTACTGCCAGGAGCAGACATGTCTCACTGTCATGCAAAGCCTTGCATTATTAAAACGTCTTAAATGCCATATTCTGCAGGTCTCTGAAGTGTTTAAAGACCATCTAGCTATTTAAAACATGTCTCTCTTTGGCCTTGAACATACTTAATATGCCTATAAGTTTGATTGTTATTGAGAACTAACCTGTTTTTTTTTAATCTTAAATAGCTTTCAAGGACAAGAACTTTACATTTTTAAATGAGCTGCATAGATATTATACCATAAACTAGTATAGAAACATATATACAGTATAACAAAAATAATCTTAAATTTATATCAATGTACAAGAATGCATGCCAATGTAAATATTTTGAGATTAATTAGCTGTTTTTTTAGTTTAAAAGTAGATTCAATGATCTACCCTTTTATCCTATGATTTTTATAATACCCCTTTCTTTTCATAAAAATATTCTCAAATCCAACCTCTTTTGTTTAGTATTTTTTTTTTATTTACCATGACTAGTAACAACTTACAACTAACTTCCCCCAAATAATGACAAATATCCACTGAATGACCAGAAACAACCCACCCCACATCTTGGTAATGAGACCATTATGTTCTCTAGACTGTTTCCTGTTGTCTGGGAGTGATGACATCTTTATGGGATCCTGAGAAAATTATGATAATGATCAAGTCCCGGGAAATCTAGGTGTATTATTTGTGTGATGAAAAAGTATACAGCTCATCCGAAGTCTTGGTTGGAGTAGTCTGTAAGGTTGGACCATCTCACCTAGCAGCTTTGAAGTTGTTTTGGATGCAGAGTTTTGAGGAAACTGCAGCAGAGGAATTCTGAGAGGCTAGATCATCTGGGCTTCTTGTCTTTATTGGTGTTTTTTTTTTTTTGTTGTTGTTGTTCTGAAAACACATAAACTATTAAAGGCAACATATATATCTGCATAAACACAAGTATGGAATATGCAGTGTGTACAAGTCAGCTAAAGATGATTTTCTGTTTTACTTTTTAGGAGGTAAAGGCATCTATTAACTTTATAAGTCCATTTGAATACCAAACCTCCATTCATGCCATATGAAAGGGTGGCATGTAACAATAAGTCATGAGCATTCTGTAGCCAAACAACAACAACAAAACCCAGCATGCTTCATCCAATCTCAGAGTTGTTCTCATGCAGAGGGATCAGAACACATGTCATCTGTCCTGTACTCTTTCCTCGATTCTTCTCTCATGTCTGTAGCTATGATCCTCAGGAGGTCTCCCTTGGTCAAATCTGATCTTTATTAGATCTTTCACAGGTTTTACAGCTTTTCATTTCCTGTGGAAACAGAAACACAACCTTTCCTTCAACAAAATACATTTCTAAACTTCCATTCTGAAGCCAAGACATCTCTAAAATATATAGACTGGTTTAAATTAGCAATCCCTTTCATAATCAAATGTCTCTTGGACTTTCTATTCATAGCCAGTCATTGTTGGATTAGCTAGACCACAGCCTGTAAGTCATTCTAATAAATTCCTTTTCTCTCTTTCTTTCCATATATATGTACATTATTTATGCATTATATATATGAGTCTCTCTCTATACATATATATGTATATATATATATTCATTTTATAAATTTGGTTACTATATAGAATGCTGACTAATACAATGTTTATACACAGATAAATCAAGTTAGCTTTGTATTTGAATTAGGAATTTGTAGGTTGACAAGGAAATATCATGATCAAAATTCCTAAGTGAAGAGCTCATCTTTGAAAAATTCTTAATACTCTAGATGCTTCTAGAAAGTTAAAACTTTCCCTACAATTTCTCCTATGAGGAAAGAGTCCTTAAGATGAAGCATTAAAAAAGTTTCCATAATTACATGCAACAAAAACTGAGTGCCCTGTAGCTTCTCTAGGGAAAAATCAAATACAAAATTGTCCTATGAAGAAGAGTAAAACAATAAATTCAAGGTCTTGTGCAAAACAGATATGTTAGCCAGTGAATTAATAAAATTGACACTGGTTCTTACTCCAGTTTAATAATTTCTATGGTATTTTTAAGCTTTCAAAAATCTACAATCATTTTTCTCAACCCTAAGATTATTCTTGTATACTTCTATAATTAAACTTTTTATTTAATCAAAAACCAAATTGGTGCCGGGCGTGGTGGCGCACGCCTTTAATCCCAGCACTTGGGAGGCAGAGGCAGGCGGATCTTTGTGAGTTCGAGGCCAGCCTGGGCTACCAAGTGAGCTCCAGGAAAGGCGCAAAAGCTACACAGAGAAACCCTGTCTCGAAAAAACCAAAAAAAAAAAAAAAACCAAATTGGAGAAACAGTAATCCACACCTGATCAGGAACTCAAGATGATGTGTGAGGACCTTGAGTTTCAGGGCAGACTGGGCTACACAGTTGATTGAATTGAATAAAAACAAAATCAAGAAAGCCAAAGAGAACCATGATATGAGAGCATTTCACAGTAAGATTGTAATCAACTTCTTGAGTTTCACAAGGAAACTAATAGAACGAACCTGTATTTTGCAGGGTTCATCTCTATGGTTGAACGAACCTGTATTTTGCAGGGTTCATCTCCTACCTTTCTCCTTATTGTGCATGGGAAGAATTGGCTGACAGATTTCCATGTCCGCTGAAGACAGTGCTGAAAATCCCCAAGCCTGGCCTTAGCTAGTTGGGTAGCTGTGAGCCACCACTGAGCTGTAAAAAAAAAAAAAAAAATAGGATCAATACTTTTCGAGATAACTTATTAGTTAAGACTCCCTGTTGCTCAGGTACAAGGCCCTGAGTTCAGTTCAGATTCCCAAAGTCTATGTAAAAAGCCAGATGTTGCTCCCTGTTCCTATGACACCAGGTCTGAGGAATGGGTTGATTGAAGACAGGAGGATCTCTGGGGCCTCTTGCTGGTAAGCCAGTTTAAAGTAAGAACAGTATTCTCTAGACCCAATGCCTTAGGGGAATACATTGAAATGTAGGTAGAAGAGAGTACCTGATGACTCTCCTCTGGCCTCTGTGAATATATACTCAGATACATGCACATGTGCACAGGGATGCATGCCTGCACACATTTGTAAGATATGCATACCCAAACACACAATATATGAAAGATGAAAAAGTATAAAAATAATTAATATTTATTTTCTTGTGTTGTCTGTCTATCTATCTATCTATCTATCTATCTATCTATCCATCTATCTACCTATGTATCATCTATCTAGTTCGTAATATTATACAACTTTTTGATTTATAGTATGAAAACAAGCTCAATATCTGTTAAGACTAAAGCCTGTATAATCCAGTACCATCATAGGAAAAGTAAAGATGAAAATAATGCTATTTATATATTCATGTTTATTGATATATTCTTAGAAGGATAAAATGATCTCAAGCCTCTTGAGAAAATATAATCATGTATTGATTGACATCTCAAATTGGTAATTAAATATCTAAATTTGGTGATTAGGCACCTCATGAATATAGTATTATATAATTACTATGCTATTTTTTTTACTTAAAGATTTGTACTTTTACATATGATATTGTAGCAAGTTTGAAACTTAAAATGGTATCTTTAGAAGACATGTTTAAGAAAATTACAAACAAATCATGGCTTAACATACTAGTTTTTTTGTGTGTGTCATTTGATTTTAAGCATTTGTTTTTTTCTCATTAAATTTTTTTCTTTTATGTTTGAGATTAAAATATATCACTTTCTGCCTTACATTTCCTCCCTCCAATCCCTGCAACAATACCCCTTGCTCGTCTTTCAAATTTATGATCTCTTTTTATTATTTTTATACACACATACATACACATACACACAAACATCTATACTCTTAAAAGTATATATAACCCAAAATATAAGAAATCCTTGAAGGGTCCCAATGTTCCCGCCGTAGGGACTTAAACTGGTTTTGCTGAGTAAAACCCACAGACACATAGATTTGTAAACAAACAACACTGTCTTCCCTGCCTATCTCTTACTCTTGAGGAACTACACTCACATATCTTTTTATTACAACCTTTGCTCCAGGGACATGCAAGAAATTTGTTATTTAAATGATGCATGAATGCTTTAGTTTAACATCTGTGTTTTGAAACATGACAGTCATTTCTGGTACAAATTCAATTTTAATTCTTAATTGTTGCAATTATATAATTTCACATTTGTGATATGAGTTCTACAGATCTGTTAAGAAATCTCTAGGCCTAGACTTCCTTATATCTGGTTCTTCACATAAATGTCTGATTTCATTCTCCCTTTTGGCCCTACCACTTCACATGGTCATTCAGGTGCTAGATTATGACACAGACCTCTCCTAACCAGTCTTGGTTATACCATCTCTAGAGTCCCCAAAGCAATCCAGCCTGCCACACTGCTTTATCATTCAGTGAAAAATTTTTAAATTTGGAAGTGCTTAGAAATATATATTCCAAATTCTGAAAGATCAGAAATGCCAATCTAAAATATTGTACCCAGCAAAACTATCGTTTATAATTAAAGGACAAATAAAACTTTTCCATGAAGATAGACCAATGTGAAATGTGACTACTGAGAAAGAAGAACATAGGATACTAGAAGGAATACTTTTAGGAAAATTTACATCTCAAGAGGATATGGGTGAAAAATAAAAACACCCCAGTACTGTTAATCATAGGGACTCTAAGAAAAATCACAAAATAAAAGAAATATGGAAATCAATAAGCATCATTCAATAACTCTGAATATTAATGGTTGCAATATACTGATAAGACAAATAATAGATTACAATGGATATATGATCCGTTTTATGCTGCTTACAAGCAACAAATTTCACCATCAAAGTGAGATACCAACCTAGAATCAAATCACAGAAAAGAGTACTACAAACAAGTAGACCTAGAAAACAGAAGTGATTATAGTATTTGAAAAATACTCCATAAGTTTAAACTGGTGAGAAGTAATAAAGAGGGTAATTTTATACTGATTAAGGGAATAATATATCAAATGGATAGTTTACTCTTATGTGCATACATTCCAAACACAGGTATACTCAGCTTCATAAAACAAATACTAACAGATGTAAAGTCATGACCTAGCTGCAACAGAGTTATAATGGGAAATTTCAATAGAGTAGAGCTAGACATCAACACCACAGTAGAATTAAGCTATGTATCAACAGCAAGAAAAGACACAGAATGCACATAATCTCATGGAGATTAAACAGCTCACTAATTAGTGTTGATTGGGATGGCTAAATAATCCTGAATCTAAAAACAACATGTTACTGAATGAAATTCTCAATCCTGGCTATGGGTATTTCTGCAAAGATTTATTAAGGAGTTCCCAGAGGCTCACTAAACAAAGCAGTCTCAATAAATTTCTCAGTTGTGTGTTGGAATTAGAAAAGAAGACTGTAATGCTGATGATAGCATGTATCTTGGTTACAAGATGTAGAGAAAGAAGCTGTTACTGTTTTGGAAATTTTTTCTTTTATGGTTATCTTTTAAACTCTCAGAAGGTACTATTTAGGCTACCAATGGGCAACATTGGTCTTCTCCATCTGTGAGCCTTACTAACTGAAACCCCAGTTTACCAGGTTAGATGTGTGCAGCAGGAGCATGACTGTGTGTGACTGACCAAGTGCCCTCTGGTTGAAGTTGAGGATACCTCCATTGGAGATAATCCAGGCTTGCTACTATACGCTTGGTTCAAAATCCATGCCTGCAAAGATCAAACTGCCTGTGTGTTTATACTATCAGACAAAAGTGACTCTCAGCCTTATTCAGAGAAGCCTCTCTTTATATGTATCATGGTGAATGCAGAACCTCATGGAAGCTCTGAGAATGAGAACCTCATGGAAGATTCTGAGAATAAATAAGTGTTAAAGACTCATTTGTCCCTAAAAATGATATTTACATTCTCTCATGTAAAACTCAGAAAACAAGGCAGAAGAGGTGATAGAAAGCATGTAAGAGCAGGAAGTCAGGGTTGGGGTCATGAAAGGGGATCCTAAAGACTCAGTACAGCCACAAGAACCATGAACTCACAACTGAAGTTACATGACATAGGTCCTTGAAAGACAAGTTGTCAATAATTAGTCTTAGAATTTGAAAAGCCACATTTGACAGGAATCTGTTTTGTTGAATGATTGATTATCAATTGATGGGTTTATCTAAGTTATTCTATTAACCAATAAAGACTCAGGAGTCAGATATTGGGGTAAAAATCTGATAGATCAAAGTAGTAGTGTAGGAGCAATCAGCTGTCCTCTCCACATGTCCCAGCTTGACGAGAGTGCAGAATCCAGGTCCTTCCCTCCTCCTTTCTGTACATCTTATTTATTCATATAACTGGTTACTCTATGACTAATTCCTGTCAGCTGGCCACTGGCTCTGCTCCCTGATTCAAAGTTAACTTTATTAACATGGTCTCAGAATGTCATATTGTGAGTAAATATCACACAACATTTTCCCCGTTTTGTCTAAAGAAAAAAGGAATACTTAAACTCTAACACAGTAAAACTATATAAAATAAAAACAATTATCAAGTAGCAATTACATTCACAATGTCTTGTACATTTGTATCTGGCAATTGTGAGAAAATACACTGTAATCTATCCTATCTTGAGGAATCCAAAATTTTATATCTAAACCACTTTCTATCATAACTTGTATTACCAGCCTAAAATATCCTTTTAGACTTTAAAGCATTTTCTTAGATAAACAACATGAGCTTTTATATCTCTCAACTGTATAAACTTTACATCTCTTTTCTGAATTTGTTAATGAGGAAAACTCTAAGGCTAAAAATAATTTAGTCTTCAACCCAATCAGAGATCTGAGAAGGATAAAATATTACCCGAGTAAACAGAAAATGTAGAGCAAACAACTTCCAAATCTACAGAAATGACAGAGACAGCTGGCTGCCTGGACAGTCATCCAAGTTTTCTCTGAAACTTTTGGGTATCCATTTTCAGCCTACAAGCCTAGAACATCTGACAGACTTTTATGTGAAGCAGGAATTTTGAAGGACTGTTTTACCTTGTTTTGGCAAAGTTTGCAGTGATCCTCTTTTGTGTCATTTTTTTTTCCATTTTGGACGGTATACTATCAGCAATTGAGGCAAGGACAGTTTCTTTCCAAGTGGCTATCTTTTGCCACATTGAAAGCAAACTCTATGTGGAGGTTCATTGATGCCCAACATCTTTTCTAAAGTAAATTGGTGCTAACAGGATCAGAGGTATCTCACTGTCATGAAAAGCCTTATGTAATTAGAATATCTTAAATACCATATTCTGTAGTTCTCTGAAGTGTTTGAAGACCATCTATCTATCTAAAATATATCTGTTTAACTTTAAAAACATACCTAGCATGAGTACAAGTTTGATTGTTGTAGATGACTAACTACTAACCTTCATTTCTTTATTATCATAAATAGTTTGTAATAATAGCTTTCAAGAATTATAACTTTACAATTTAAGTGACCTGCATAGGCACAATACCTTAAACAAAAGTAGAAACATATATGCAGCATTATAAGACAAAATAATCTTAACTTTATATCAATATACACAAAAAATTTAATCAAGAGTAGAAACATATATAAATTTCTAACAAAAATAACCTTAAATTTGTATCAAAATAGAGAAATCCTTAGATTTAATAATCTACCCTTTTTCTACTCTTTTATCTTATCATTCCTATATCCCTCCTTTTTTTCTTTTCAGAAAGAGATCCCTGAATCTAATGACCCTTGCTTAATTTCCTCCCTGACTGTGACCAATAACAACTTGCAACTAACTTCCCTAAACAATGACAAACATACATAACCCACTGCATGACCCAAAACCACCCATCCTACCTCTAGGGAATATGGGCATCATATTCTTAAAATTACTTCCTGTTGTCTGGAGGTGATGGAAACTTTAGGGGACACTGAGGAAACTGGAATAGTGGTCATGTCCCATGAGGCTAGCTGTTTCATTTGTTGTACAGTCTCTGTGCAATGGGAAAGTGCAGGGCTTAACTGAAGTGCTAGCTGGAGTAGTCTCTGAGGTTGAACCATCTCAGCTAGCCACTTTGAAGTTGTTCTGGATGCAGATTTTTGAGTAAATATCAGCAGACGTGTTCTAGAGCTGAATCACCTGGCCTACTTGCCTTTTTCAATGGTATCTGGTCTTGTTTTTCTGAAAACCCACAGACTATTAAAGGTAAAATACATATTTGCCTTAACACAAATATGGGATGTGTGGTGTACAGAAATCACCTAAAGATTTTGATTCTCTGCTCTATGTTTGAGCAGGTGAAAGGCATCCATCAACTGTATGTATCTTTTGGACTGTATAACCAAGTTGTAATGTAAATTTCCAGGCACGATATGTAAAAGGATGGCATGTAATAACTCATGTGGAGTACATAGCCAACAGGATTTATTATATCTCACCTAGTCTCAGAGCTGTTCCCATAGTAGAGGGATCATCATATATGTTACTTGTCTTATAGTTTTTCTTGGTTTCTTCCTTCATGTTTGCCACCAGATTTCCAATAGGTCTCCTCCAGTCAACTCTGGTCTTTATTAATTTTTAAGGAATCCATAGCTTTTTGTTTCCTGTTGGAAAAAAGGTATAACCTTCCCCTCAATGCAACACATTTTCTCATTTCCATTCTGAAGTTCAGACATCCTTAAAATATATAAGCTAGTTTAATTCAGCTGTTTCAACAATCCAATGTCTCTTAGCAGATGTTGTTTTTTGCTCATTTGCATTTAAAAAATTTATAGTGACAGGCCCTGCTTCCACCATGAGGCCTGCTTCTTTCTGAACGGAGGCAGAGGAGAAATAGATTGGAGGGGGTAGGGGACGTAGGGGGAGAAAATGGGAGGAGAGAATGTGGTCAAGATGTGAAATGAATAAATTTAATTAAAAAAATTTAAATTTAATAAAGCGCTGCATAGGATCCAGATGTCGTGTATATTTCCCATCCTTACGTGGCTTATTCTTTTTATATTTCCTACTATTTTTTTCATATCAGATTGATTTTATTTTCATCAACATCAAAGTAACTGTGTAGTAAAAATTCATTCTACACAGTTCGACATTGCTTAGCTGCTAGACCTTTGCACAGATGGCTAGGTCTCTGGTGGCATTCTGAGACTACTGGCTTTCCAGGTCACTTGCTGAGATACTGCAACTCTCTAAGCTGCTTTGTCCTGGATCAGTCTTAGTCCTGGTCATCTCTTTCATCAGGCGGTGGTAGTGACCATATAGTAATTTCCAACTGGCTTTTTTGTTCCTTTTTGTTGAGGTTGTAGTTTTCTCAGAAGCCTCTCTTTGCCCTCCTTGGTGGGTTTTTCTTGACCTTGGTAATCATTTGCACCTGGAAGGACAACAGAGTAACGTGACAAGGGCATATGGGTCTTCAAGAAGATGGAATACGTGAGGGAGACTGAAGGAGAAGGGCAGTGGGTTGAGGAAGGGCTTAATGCTAGGCCAAGAAAGGGTTAGGAGTGGAAATCACTAGAGAAAGGACTACACTTAGCTTGGACCTTCTTACCATTCTACAGCTTCTGGAACTGGATTTACCATGCTTCTTGCCAGAAGTTCTGGTTTTGGGCTCATGGCGACTTTTGGCTTTCTTCGACTTGGTACCTGAGGTTGATGGCCTGATATTTTTGGTAGGATCATGTGACTTCTTAGTTGCCTTCGCCATACTGAAGCCTGGGTTGGTCTGGCTCAGGGCTCAGAGGCACTTTCTTGTGAAGCCACCAAGAACAATGGAAGGCCACACCCCTGAGTCCTGATAGGTCAGCAAGATCCTCCCCAGCCAATAGTGGCAGTGGAGCTCCTTTGACAACACAAAGCCCAACTGTGGGCACCTCGTAGCCGTGATATTAGCAGGCACTGGTTCAGAGATCATGGTGTGGCTCAAAATCAGAAAGTATCATCTTTGACAGTCCTGGTTGGGGGAGATGCTATTAAGGCAGTAGAGTCTGGATCCAGATAGGAGGCTTTTCTTGAACTTCTCCAAGAGACTCATGCTACCCTCTTTCATATTCTCATTGTTGTGATAGAACATGTGGTAAAGGGTTTGCTTCAGTAAACTCTTCCGGAAATTTCCCTCCACTGAATGGTTCATTCTGCCATGTCTCTTCCTTAGTAAGTTAGCTACAATTTGGGGTATTTCACCTTAAGTCCTTCCAAAATTAATATTGAAGTATCTGCATATGTGAATCACCCCATAAATAAATACAAAGAGAATCTATTAATGAATGAATATCTCCCTACCTGGTGAATTTCAACAAAACAAGAAAACCTGACAATTTGGTTATATGGTGTGCTGGCTAGTTTTATGTTAACTTGGCACAGCTAGTGTCATCTAAGAGGAGGGAGCCTCAATTAGAGACTACCTCCACAAGATCAGACTGTAGGCAGGCAGGACTGTAGGGCATTTTTTTAATTAGTGACTCATGTGGGAGGGCCCAGTCCATGGTGGGTGGTGCCATCCCTGGGCAGATGGTCCTGGGTTCTATAAGAAAGCAGGCTGAGCAGGCCAGCAGAGCAAGTCAGTAAGCAGCCCCCCTCCAGGGCCTCTGCATCAGCTCCAGCCTCCAGGTTCCTGCCCTGTTTTGAGTTCCTGTCCTGACTTCCTTTGATGATGAACTGTGATATGGAAGAGGAAGTCAAATATACTTTTTCCTCAAGTGGCTTTGGCCACAGTGTTTCACCCTACTCTTTCTTTGAGAATTTTATTATATTATTATTATTATTATTTTGGTTTTTCGAGACAGGGTTTCTCTGTGTAGCTTTGCGCCTTTCCTGGAACTCACTTGGTGGCCCAGGCTGGTCTCGCACTCACAGAGATCCACCTGGCTCTGCCTCCTGAGTGCTGGGATTAAAGGCATGTGCCACCACTGCCCAGCTTATTATATTATTTTTAAAATTTTTTCTATGACTTTCTACAGCCATTCTCTCTCTCTCTCTCTAGCATCTAAGCATATTTTCAAGCATATTGTACCTGTTCAGAAGTCTCCTCAGTCCGGACCTGGCTATTTGCATACCTGTAGCCTTTTCTTGCCATGTGAGCCAAGCCTTAAAGGGTCAGGCTACCTGCCTTGACTGACCAGACAGGAAGGGGCAGCTGCAAGCAAGGAGCATAAACTGTGGCATCTGAGCACCATGACTCCAGGACAATGGTGCAAAGCCCTTCTGTGCATCTGCAGCCTCCTTCTAAAGCTCTGTTTAGCACATGGTGCTGTCAGCAGGCTTTCCCCACTGAGGTCCTTGAGAGCACAGCCTTAAGTCCACCTGTATCAGCTAGAGGACCAGCTCTGGGAGGCTGTTGTGTCCATGCTGTGGCAAGCCTTTTCTACTAGTCTCCTGCTAGGTAGAGTACCAGTTAGCCTATGCTTGAACATATGTGCCCTACGTTGGATCCCAAATGTGTTTATCACAGCTGCTCTATTATCAGTAAAGACTCAGGAGTCAGATAATGGGATAAAAATCTGATAGATCAAAGAAGTGGCAGAGGAGCTACCAGCTGTCATTCTATCCACACTTCCCAGCTGGAAGAGAGCTCAAAAATCTAAGTCTCTTCCTCCTCCTCCCTGTGCGTCCTCTCTAACCATATTCCTGGCTTCCCTATCGTTAATTCCTACCAACTAGCCACTGGCTCTGCCCCCTGATTCAAAGGTAGCTTTATTAACATGGTCTTGGAGTGGCACAGTATGATCAAATATCCTGCAACAGTTGATAGTTTCTGAAAGACAGGGGACTGTTGCCTCCAGTTATAAATTGAATGCTGAGCCTACCAGGCTTCAGTAGAGATAGCTCCTGATTCATGGACATGTGGACAGCCCTGGTTAAATTTAGTGGGTCCCAAAACAGAAGAAATATATTGAAGTGAAAAAAAAAAGGTTTTGTATGAAAGAGAGCTGACAGACAATGTAGGAGATGGGAAAGGACAGAGGTGGTGAGGTTGGTTTGTATGCACGTGTACACTTGTGAAGTTACCAAATGACTAATTAAAAATATTATATCACTGCACCATTACTCTCCTTAGGTATGAGCATATGCAAAATTTGTTGCTTTTCTATTTGTTTCCTGTGAAATACTTTTTCCATGCAAAGTTAGGAAATCTGAGATGTTTGAATATAGATGGAAAGTGAGGCTTTATTCCTTCAGTGCTGGAGACTGAACTCAAGGTCTCCTGCTTCTTACTGTTTCCCCAATTCTCCTCTCTCTTTGTCCCTCCTATACTTCCTGCCTGGTCAATGGCCATCAGTGTTTTATTTATATAGAGTGATATCCACAGCAAACGATGAACACTGTAAAGGGAATCTGCTCTCCCGAGATAAGTGTATTAGTCAAAAACTTGAGAAATTTTATGAGTTTTCCACATTTGTTATCTTTTCAGGCCATCAATTATGTAAGAGCATGTCTCATCTTCTTTTGGCTACAGCTGTGCATCTCCAGGTTTAACAACATTTGCTATTGATGCCAACTTGTAACAAATCAATGATTTTTATGATGATTGTAAACACATCATTTCATGTTATTATGTTAAGAAAGTATCTTGCAGGAATCCTAATAAGTAGCTTCTTTTTTTTTTTTTGGTTTTTAT